CTTAGATCTTCTTGCTGGACAAACCCTTTAAGTATGATATAGTGTTCCTCTTCATCCCTTACAATGGTCTTTGGTATAAATCTAATTTGTTATGAGGATTAGTACCCCAGCTTTCTTTTGTGGTCCATTAGTATGATGAATGATTCTCTACCCCCTCACTTTCAATCTGGACTTTTCTTTAGTTCTAAAATGAGTCTCTTGCACATAACTTATGGATGGGTCTTGCTTTTTATCCAGTGTGATAACCTTTGTTCTTTGATTAGATCATATAACTCATTGACATTCAGAGTAACTATTGAACGATATGAGTTTAGTATCACTATATTATGTGTAAAGTCCCTTTTTCTGGAGATTGGCACTGTTTCTTTGGTCTTTGTTACTTTTGGGCTCTCCCTTCACTTACAGGATCCTCCTAAATATTTTTTGTAGGGTAGTTTAGTGGTCACATATTCTTTGAGTTTCTTTCTGTCCTGGAAGCTTTTTATCTCTCCTTCCATTCTAATTGACAGCCTTACTGGATAAAGCATTCTTGGCTGCATGTTTCTCTCATTTAGTACCTGAAATAGATCATTCCAGCTCTTTCTGGCCTGCCAGTTCTCTGTGGATAGGTGTGTTGCCAGTCTAATGTTCTTACCTATGTAGGTTAAGAACCTCTTCTCTCCCACTGCCTTCAGGATTTTCTATTTCTGAAATTTGCAAGCATCACTATTATATATTGGGGTGTATCTATTTTTATTGGTTTGGGGAGGGGTCCTTTCTACCTCTTGGACTTGAATACCTGTTTCCTTCCCCAGATTAGGGAAGTTCTGAGCTATGATTTGCACAAATATACCTCCTCTCTCTTTCTTTCTCTCTCTCCCCTTGGGGACCACAGTAATTCTAATACTGTTTCATTTTATAGCATTGCTGATTACTCAAAGCCTCCCCTCATGGTCTGTCAATTGTTTTTCTCTTTTCCTCAGCTCCTTTCCTTTCCATCAACTTGTGTTCTATTTCACTGACTCTGTCTTCTTCATTTACCGTAGCTATCAGAGCATCCAATTTAGACTGCATCTCAGATAGAGCATTTTTTATTTCAGCTTGATTAGATTTAATTTTTACACCAAGAGATTTGATAGTGCTTTTATGCTTTTTTCAAGCCCAGCTAGTTGCCTTTATAATTGTTATCCTGAATTCCAGCTCTGACATCTTATATCCATATTGATTAGATCTGTGAGAGAGGGTATTACCTCCAGTTCTTTTGTTGTCAATTCCCACTAGTCATTTACAGGTACAGAGAAGAATGGATGGGGGAGAGACTGTGATCTCACAGGGTGGACAAAACAGGGTGATCCACTTGGTCCTGAGTGTCTTTTGGTCTGTGTGTTAGAAGACGCTAAATCCCAAAATTGTTAAAAAAAAAAAAAAAAAGCAGAACTTAAATATGTACAAAAGTAAAACTGAATACAGTGAAAGGAAGCCGGAAATTAAAAAAAAATCTATCTCTATATATATATAGATAGATAGATATCTATCTATATATATAGAGAGAGAGGGTAGACTCTCACCTCATATGAGAAAAAAGAAATGGAAAAATGTAAATGAAAAGACAAAATAATCATAAGAAAAACCTCAAGTTTTATATACTATTTTCACCTAGCACTGCAGTTTTGCAGTCCTATTTGGTCCATTAACTTGCTGTTGTCCTGTTCTTCCAGCTGGTGTTCCAGGGGAGGAGCCTGATATGCTGATTCTCAGGTATCTTTGCTTGGGTGGAGTTGCACTGCCCCTTGCCAGGGAGTGGGGCCAGGCTCAATATAAGTCGGTTGCTCTGCATGGCTTTTGTTCCCTAATGCTTTCCACACCTCTTTAGAGGGTGAAAATTAAAATGGCCAGCTCAGTCTCTAACCCTGGAACTGAAAGATCACAGTGTGTACCAAACTCTGCAGACTCCTGCAGTGTGCGCCCACACACATCCTCCCTGAGGGAGGCGCAGGGGGTCACTCTGTTCCTGCAGTTTGCTGGGACTCCCACATGGACAGCAGTCACCTGATCAGGCCTCAGTTCACAGTGGATGCTGAACTGAGCTGAGAGCCTCCTTCAGGGCTCATTGAGCCTGACAGGATTCCCTGCTCCAATGCTTGGGAACTCTGCTCGATCGGACAGCACTGTTCTTCCTGTGATTCTTGAGACCACACTGTCCCACCTGGGATACTATCTCTCTTTACCACCTAGCACCTTTCAGGCAGGGCCATCTCTCACTGAGGCAGGTTTCTAAAGGTTTGGATTTTGCTCCCAGAGCTGTATCATTTTCTGGTAGCAGGCTGACTTAGTCTCCCTCCCCCCACCATTTGTCTTCCCATATCTCCACTCAGTTCACTTCTTCACACTCCTGCTTTGCAAAAAGTGGTCCCTTTTCTAGTTGTAGAATTTTAGCCATTCTTTTCTTACATCTCAGGTGGACTTCTTAGGCATTCAGGATGATATGATAATTCTCTAGCTAAATTTAGGGCACCAGATGAAACGAAGTCCCTCATTCTTCCTCCCTCTTGCCTCCCTCTCATCTGTTATATGAGTATTTTTGTATAATACTGTCTAAATCCTATCATGTTCTGTTAATTAGTAAAACAACTGGCAATATGGGATGATGCAATCTGATTTAGATGAAAAGATACAGATATGCTGAGTGATAGCTTTCAAATTTTTGAAAATAATATGTGATGAATATAATCAAAGGAATCCATAAAATTTAATGTTTTCATTAAACCAGATATACAGAGCTCTGGCATAGACCGATTATTCCCAACACTTTCCCACCCTCCACTCTGTGTGTCTAGGGAGAAAGCCACTTTTTCTCAATTATTCTGTCCTAGAGCCCAGTGCTTGACTGAGCTGCTCACTAAATACCTCTCAAAATACTGCACTTGAGAGAGGCCTGGTGTTTTTGTAGATTTCCTAGAAGACACCACCCCCCCCAAGAAAAAAAACATTGAATTTTACAGAATCGTTTTATTTATTTATTTATTTTCAGTGTAACAGAATTCACTGTTTATGCACCACACCCAGTGCTCCATGCAATACGTGCCCTCCATAATACCCACCACCTGGCTTCCCCAACTTCCCACCCCCCGCCCCTTCAAAACTCTCAGATTGTTTTTCAGAGTCCATAGTCTCTCATGGCTCATCTCCCCTTCCAATTTCCCTCAACTCCCTTCTCCTCTCCATCTCCCCATGTCCTCCATGTTATTTGTTATGCTCCACAGAATCGTTTTTGATCTGCCTTGTTTTCCTTGAAGATGTTCTGGGTTGAATGTGGCTTCTTTTGCGGAGGGATCTGGGAGCACCGCAGCACTCCTGCAATGTCTCCTGTGGCCACCAGAGGGCTCGTGACAAGGACCTTTCTCCACCTGAACAGAAGATGCAAGTTCATCTCCGTAAGAGCTTGCTTTACAATTTTAATGAAATGCCTTAAGGATTATTTATTCTTCCATTTCTTTGGGACCTATTGACAGTTCCCTACAGGTAACAACCTATGGTACCACACGGACTCACAGATGTCCCTTCTTACACATGCAGATACATAAAATTATAAATGTCTGAATGAAGGTAGACTCTCACCTCATATGAGACAGAAAATGAACCCTAAAAGGATCAAAGAGCTAAGTTGAAGAGCTAAACTATAAATCTCACAGAAGAAATCCAGAAGAAGAAATCTTCCTGACCTTAGGTTTGGCATCTGTTTCTTAAGGATGACACCAAAATCAACAAGTGGAAAAACAGCTATAAGGATAAATTGGTCACCAACATGACTGCCTTTCCACTTGGTTCCCCATGTGCTCCAGGCACCAGGCAGGAACTGTACAAGTCATTGCTTCCCACAACCCACTCAGTGGCACTGGTTACATTCTCCAATTCAGAGATGGGGTCCAGAGGTTCAGAGCCCTGCCTCGGGTCACCCAGCTACAAGGAGGCTAAGCAGGGCCTAGAACTGCTATCCTGCTGCCACTGGACTCTGTACTCCATCCACACGGCTCCTCCCTGGAACTCAGAGGTGTGCAATTGCTCCATGTCCAAACCCAACTGCTCCACGTCCAAGCCCCCAAATCTCACTGAACTCTGGGGGCAGTGGTGCCCCTTACAATGGGGACTTGGCCAGGGTCTGTTGCCTGATGATGGCAGGCCTTGGGTTCTCCCTACCAGCCAACCTTTATCTGGGCAGAAGGAGATTTCTCCCTGGGTACCAGTAACAAAGTTTCATGTAACCCAAGAGTTGAGAAGTCCCTTCGGCAGCATCTGGAGGCAGCCTTCATATCAGGTGGGGCCCACAGGGGTAGCAAGTCTGGGTTCAACTCCTTCCTCTGTTTCAGTGTGGGAAAAGGAAGGGGCTGTTTCTTAAAGCCTCAGTTTCCTTGTTAGTCAAACAGGGACAGCACTTCGGCCTTCCTGATGGAATTACTACAGGGATTGAGTGACATGATCCATGTTCCCAAAAGACACTCAGTAATCCTTAGGTGTACCTGCTTAAGGTAGCCCACTGTGAGCCCACTACTGCCATGGGCTCTGGGTCTCTGCCATACTCTTTCCTCTCAGCCTGTCAATCTTTGCTTCCTCTGACTCCATTGTCCTTCCAGAAAGCCTTCATCACCTCCAGTATGGGTGACCTGTCCTTCAGCTGGGTTCCCACAACACTGGTTCTCACCCATCAGATGCACACCAGCCCTGGAACTCGACATCACTCAGAGCTTGTGTCTGTGGCCCCTGGATAATCCTCAGTGTTGAGACCAGTACTCCATAGGTCCCTGAAATTTTGGCTATTCTTCGGACCCAATGTTGGGATGCCCGGGGACCAGGACTATTTCCCTCCAAAGCAGGCAAAGTGAGCTGCCCTCAGCTCCATCATGCCTGTTGCCCCTCTCTTCCCACTGTGTAATCATTAGTACTGAGCATCTTAGGGCTCCTTGGCTGTCAGGATCCTAGTGCCTTTTGGTGGTTGGTGTCAAAAGTATTTTATGAAGGTGAACATGGTTTTTGATGGAAACATTGATAGGATGAAGCTTGGCCACTTGCTACAAACCCACACAGAACCTGTGTCCTTGACCAATATGGCTGCGCTGCAGCCCATAACAGTGCTTGGAGCTCTCCTCTCTCACCTCATCCCTGTTCAGTGGTGTTTCTCTCTCTTGCAGGGAGAGCCCAAAATGTCCTCTCTCTGATGATCTATTTTCTCTGCCTGGGGGGCTTCATCTTATGGCAGAGTTGACAGGGATGGCTGAGCATGGCCTCTCTTACAGCTTCAGATCAAGTGGACTCCCCCTCAGCTGACTTTTGAGAGGAGAGGGGTCTCTTCCTTCTCTTCACTTATGTCTTGAGCAGAAAACATAGCCCTCTCTCTCACAAAAACTGAACTTGAGGGATATCAAGGTTGGGGCTGGCAGGAGCGGGGGGTGGTCACTGCTGGAAGAGCCTAAAGGGTGTGGAGGGACTACACTCAGTGCCAAAACCCCTGGCTGAGGCTCTGTCCATCCTGCAGCTTCCATGAGCACCCAATGTGCTTTGTAAAGCTCTCTCTTGCTCATGGAGGTTCAAGTGGTTCTTGCTGTTGCCATTAAATGTACATTTGGATGAACACATTCAGGTCATGTCTGTAATGCCCTGACCTGTGCTACCATTAGAGGTTCCTTCTTGAGAAGAAAGGGCCCAACCAGGATGGACAGGGAGCAAGCAGACAGGTGTGGCCCAGCCAACACCCCTCTCTTGGCCTGGAAAGAGGGCCTGGTTGCTCTAGTTAGAAGCTGAGTTAAGGAGCAGGAGGGCCTGGAGTGTCTGGGGTGTGTCCTGGGATGGGACCTGGATGAGGTTGTTCCAGGACATGGTGCAAGGATGCTTGTCAGGGGAGGACCCATGAGGTGGGTATAGGCAGGCTCTTCCCTGCTCCATAGGTCACTCCCAGGTACCCTGATGGTCTCCCTGCTTGTTTGTCCTCCTCATCATTTCGGGGCTCATCTGTCATCTCTGAGGTCCCTCCTTTCCTGAACAAGGCTCCTTTTAAATAAAGAGAGCATAGATAGAGGATCCTGCAGCCAATACTCCCAACAATGTGAGTAAAGTGTGTTCCAGAAATTGTGCTTATAGGAATCAGTCCTAAAGAAAAAGAGATTTATGGCAAAGATGTACTCTTCACTTTATGAGACTCAAATAATTAAAAATGTCCAATTGTTTAATAGTTGGTGCTGCTGAGTAAATGATGTGTGGTCACTGAAAATGTCCAAGGGGACAGGAGCAGCAGTGCATGTCCACTGTGGGTACCTCAGGCAGAACAAGAACCTAGCTGTGGAACCCTCCCTTCCCCACCCTGTCACACACACACACACTGCACTTAGAGGGAAAGGACTAGAAGAGGGATACCATGTGTTATGGGCAATCATTTCTTGGTAGAAGGAATGTATCTTCTTTTCTTCATATTTAAATCATTAGTGTACTAAATAAACGTAATGTGGCTAAAACCTTAACTATTTACTTTATTACCTGGTATGTTTGTAATAAATGGGAAGATTTAATATGCAATCTTAATGTTTTTATAATATGCATGTTAGCATAATTTAGAGTTGAACTCACCTGGGACTTGCAGGACCCATTTTCAAGATGGCTTCTTCACTCAAATATTTGTCTGGCATATCTACTGTAAATCCTGACAAGGGGAGACATGGTCATAGTATAGAAGAATATGTAGAATGGAAGATTTTGATTTTAAACATCTTTGGAAAATAAGATCTGCTATAAGAAGACAGGCTTGATTGTGGCCTGGTATTTTGCTTACATTGTATCATATGGGTGAAGGCTACTGAAGCAGAAGAATGATAGGGAATATCGTTAATAAAGAGATGGAAAAAATAAAAAGTAGAAATTATAGAAAAGAAGTACAGTAACAGAAACGAAACATTCTCTAGGAGGGCTCAACTGCGGTTTTGGTTGTTAGAAGCAAGTATCAGTGAACTTGAGGACAGTTGATTGAGATTCTCCAGTCTGAGGAACAGAAAGAAAAACTGAATCCAGAGTAAAGAACTGGGATTTAGAGATCTGTGGGGCACCATAGAAAGTAGCATAGAAGTTATACACATACATATATTTGTATATATAATGTTTATATGTGTTTTATATATGTATATAAAATATATTCAAATTTACCCTTTCAGTTTTCCTCCCAATCTGTCTACAAATACGGTATTTATGATCTTATATAATGGCAACTTTATCCTTGGAGTTTCTTAGGCTACAATCCTTGGAATCATGTTTGACTTCTCTATTATAATTACAACCTATAATAATCTTCAGCAAGTCCTGTTAGCTCTAATTTCAGAATGTATCTGGAGTCTGACTGCTTCTGTCTTATGGTGTACGTTTGTGGAATGAGCCGTCATCAGAGCTGGTCTGAATTAGTGAACTTGCTCCTTCTCTGGCCTCCTAGCTTCCATCCTGGTGTTTTCCAACAGGAGCAGTTAGAGCTGTTCTAACACCTGTCCACTACTCAAAACTCACACTCACCACTTCACTCAGAAGAGAAAGCCATGTGCTGGTAGTGTCTTACAGGGCCCTATAGGACTTATGCCCTACCCACAATTGCTTATCATCCCAACCACTCTCCATCTTACTCCACTTCAGTCCCAGGAGTTGTTTAACAACCTCAGGCAGCAGCCACCTGAGTTCTCTGCACTGGCTGTTCTCTCTGTGTTTTGCTTTCCCCAGATGTACACATGGATGCTCCCATGTCCTCCTTTAAGTCTTTGGTCAAAAGTCGCCTTCTCAGTGAAACCTATTCTTAACATCCCATTTAAAAAGAAAACTCTGGCATTCCCACTATCTCTTATCCTGCTTGATTTTTTCCATAGCCTTATTGTAAATTACCATCTTCTTTTTGTTTATGTATCTGCATTTTCTGTGAGAATGTAAATACTGTGAGGGAGACAATGGTCAATTTCATTCACCAATGCTTTGGAGAATGTAAACTACATGTATAGTTTGATGTCCTTTTTTTAAAAAACAAAACACCATGAGTTTTTCTTAATATATTGAAATATGTGTTGAAAATGTTATTTTTATTATTATATTCTGTCACACCGATCATTAATTCATTTCATGTATTTGGGCAAAATGAAATGGCTATATTTTTCATATATTAACCCAACTCTATCATAGACATTTTATATCACAGAAATACTGGATAGAGGTCTATTGGTATTTTTCAGGGAGCCTGATTTATATTTCCCAAGTGTCTATCTAAAAGTTGCACTGAATTACATTCCTCTTAACAGTGAGGGAGGTGGCCTTACACAGCTTAAGAATATAGATTCTAGAGCCCATGCACCTGGTTAGAACATCAACTCTGCTACTGGCAGTGTGTGTCCAGATACATAAGCCTCAGTCTCCTCATTTATAAACCGGTAATGATGGTGTTTCTCTCATTAGACTGTTGTGAAGATTAATTGAAAGAATCAACCTGACATAGCACCGGCATAGAGGAAGTCCTCAAGAGATGTCAGGTGTTATTTAAATTTGTATTGTTACTTTTATTTCAAAATTATGGATTTTCATGAGACCTGACTATGAGTTTGATGTATTTATTCCAAATCTGATGTGTGGATAAAAGTATGCCTTGTTAAGTTTTGCTTATTGAGGATAACTTTTTAATGCTCATTGGCCTATTTGTCCTCCTCCTTTTAAAAAATAATTTTCCTAAATTCTTTCCTCTTCTTTCCCTTCAGCTTTCCTTCACTTACTGATTTATAAATACTTTTTCTATATTAAGGATATTAAGGCTTTGTCATAGGGCTAAAATAATCACAATGGAACTTTATGTGAATTAGGAAAAAGGACTTCTAAGGGACAAACCCATGCCTAGTTAGCATATATTGTTTCTTGGATGGGTGCATCACAGGGTGGATGTCAGCCCTAACTGACCCGTTGGCCAGTTGGCCTTGAACACTTAAAGTCTGCACAACTCTCTGTAGTGATTTTGTGGGTCATAGGATTGGAAATTGAGTTTACAAGCTTATAGTTGGATTTACGTTTTATTGCGGTGCTTCCGAAAATACAAAGGTTTTAAAAATGTTTACATATTTTTGTATATTGTTATTTTGCTTTCTGAATTTTTCTATTACTAGCTTGATATATACGGTATAAGTCAGGGTTTTCAGGGAAGAGAAGAGGACAGGGACAGACAAAGACAGAGACATAGAAAGAGAGATATTTATTATAAGGAATGGCTCATGTGTTTTTCAGAGCATGCAAATCTGAACTCTACTGTTGGACTGGAAGGCTAGAGTCCCAGGAGAACTGATGGTACAGATGAAATCAAAGACCATGTACTGGAGAGTTCTTTCTTGCTGGGGAAGGTGAGTGTTTTTGGTCTGTTCAGGCCTTCAGCTGATTGGATAAGGCACCTACCTTATGGAGGAAAACACATTTTATTTAGAGTTCATTTCATTCAATGTTAATTTCATCCAAAAACACTCTCCCAAATTGACATATAAAATAAGTCATCATATTTAGGCAACATTTCCCTACCTCCATGCAAATATTCACTTGTTTTAGCTGTCATAAGCTTCTCTATTATTCTTGGGTCAGCATAGTGTATTTGTACCTAAATAAAGTTTTTAAAATATCAAAAACAAGTGACATTGATTTACAAAGTTTACTTCTACACTTTTTCTTTATCGTTTATAATTTGTGTGCTTTAAGTAGAGAAACAAACTTAGAAAGATTTTGTGATTCCTTTTAAGTGAAATATAACTATCTGAAGCCAAGATAAAAGGTGATACTTTATACTATACCCAGATACTGAATTGGCAGTGAAATGTCTTATAAATGCAGTTGTGCTTATATACCTAATATGGAATTGATGTCATGTGAATAGTTGTAAATATGATTATAATTCATCAGAACATCCAAAATATTTGTAATTAGCATGCAGACTTTAGCAGAAGATCCTGAATTAACTTAAAATGATTTGGTGAGGTAAGTGGATAACAATTATAAATAATGTGCAAAGTAGCCCAGACACTAGGAGATTTCATTATTCATGACTATATGAATCTGAAGAAAGCAAATATCTTTGCATATACCAATGTGATGTTCCAAAGTATTGTGCTTGATCAAAGTTACATAAAATAATATGCAACATTGGCAGATTTTCAGTATATTTTAAAATATAACTTGTTGGGATGCCTCGGTGACTCAGTTGGTTAAGTGTCTGCCTTTGGCTCAGGTCATGTTCGCAGGGTCCTGGGATGGAGCTGTGTTGGGCTCCCTGCTCAGTGGGGAGCCTGCTTCTCCCTCTTCCTGCTGCTTCCCCCTAATTGTACTCTCTCTCTCTAATAAATAAATAAAATCTTTAAAACAAATGTGACGTTAATTTTATTATCTAAAGGAAAGGCACATTTTTTGGTGTATTAACTGCATACATATACATATTATCCTGCTTAAGCTATTAAAATAATTGTACCTGGTTCATAGAATCTGACATCTTTAAAATCTTTCTTCCTTTGTCACATGAGTAAATGAACATGACTTAATAGCACAAATTTCCACTTGTAGATAGTTTATTCCCTAAGCTCCATTCTGGTAATTGTCCATCAATGTCCCATCTTTAAGGGATTATTAATTTGATGGGAGAGAGGATATAGATACTTATATCTAAAGTCCAAAGAAGACTCAAATCTGAAGTCCTCTAACTTCTTAAAGTGGTGCTTTTCTGGAATTATTTTCTAGGAGGAGCAGAAAGAGCTTATCAAATCCTCTATAGAATAAAAAAAAAATGTATGTTTTCAGAAGTTCTGTTCAGGTATAGTAGATTTGAAATACAGGTTGAGGGATTGGCAGCACCAGCAGTGAGCATCTAACTCCGGGTAGTAAATAGCCTTTGATAGACATTTAGTGAATGTGTGTCTGAACATACAAATCAACCAGAGACTAATTCATTCATTATTTTTTACATTGAAATTGTTGGACGAAATAATACTAACTTGTCAGTTAAAATCAATTTTGTCATTGTTATATTTGTTTCCTAAGTAGCATTTGTAGGTATACAAAATCAACCTCATTTGTTTCTGATTATAAATTTAACATTTATAATCTTTAAATGCCTTTGTAAATGATAAAGTGTTCTCTGAAATCAGAACCCTATTTAAGTTCATTTATTCCTCTTCTTTTAGCACCCATTTTTAAAAGAGCTTTATTGACGTATAATTTACATACCATAAAGGTCACTCATTTCCAGTATACAAGTCAATGGTTTTTAGTACATTTACAAAATTGTGCAACTGTCACCAATATCTAATTCCAGAGCATCTTTACTTCAATAGCAAGTTAAACATTTTTTTCTGAATTTTCCATTTGATTATTTTGACTTTTCACTCACCTAATCTCTAGAACACACTAACTGAAATCCAGTTATGTTTTATGCTTTCATGTGAAAATTTTCATAGCCACAGAGCAAAAGTATACCAATAAAAGAATACCCATTATGGTCTGAATTATGTATGCTAGCTGGTGTTAGTGTCATCTAAGAAAACTTGTGAAGAGATTCTGAATTGTGATTATTTCCATCTTGTCCACAGCAATGTTTAACATCAGATGTATAAGCCCATTCTAAAGAGGGGTAACACCTATTCCTAAAAAGTCTTGCAATTAAATCTTTTAATATACTTCACTAGAAAACTTCAAGAGGAACAAAAGAGTCTGAGTCCCTGTTATCCACAAAAACCTGATTGAGACTGGTGTTATTTGAGGAGATTAGAACAGATCTAATAACCATGAATTCTTCTAGATTTTAAAATTCTATCACAGTGCCATGTTTACATCATTAGAATATTTCAGATCTGGATCATGTAACTTTAGCTGCACATAATAGGCCTTACCAAACTATTATTTCATGTTATAGTCTTCAATTTTATAAAGGGCCAATATAATAAAAGTTCATACAAAGGACAGTTCTGCATCATTTGTGAAATTACTCATGAAGAATTCTGTTAGTGTCTTTATCAAAACGCTTATACAGTATCTTCCTCTTAGTGAGAGGACTTAAGTACCACCTCATTACTCATGATAAACTGATAATGAGACCTATCCATCCTAACCCAGTTCTTCTGGAAGTTCAGAACTACATTCTTACTCAAATGCTGAACTTATCAATACTCATGTATACTGTGAAAGCTATGCCTCTCCCCAATTATTGCATAGTTTTATGCTGTGGTCCTTGTTGAAAGATCTTGAAAATATTTCTTTCATTGAAGCCATTCTAAAATCTTGTCATAAGTAGTTTATACACAGGAAGTCTACAAATGAGTTGGATCATTGGCCTTTTAATCCCAAACCCAACTGATCAATAGAGATGACAAGAGCTGTAATAAAATGTGGGATCGAGGGCATTGTATAAACCTTAGATTAATTGATTTATTTTCTTTTATACTGATTGCTTTATTAACTAAATTGAGAATGGGAACTGTCAGTGTTACATAGACATGGTCTGAATGAGTGAGCATGTGAATAAGCAAATGAATACAGAAGATAAGGTAGTTTCACTACTTCTACTACTACCAGAAGTCCCTCAAGTCCCTGGATTGTCTAGGTTTCAAAGCAAGCATTGTGGAGAAGGCTGCATAACTCCATAAATTTGTTTAAAAATCATTATGTTTCACACTTAAAATGGGTGGATTTTGGTAGGTAGGTACATTTTATCCTAATAAATAGCTTTAAAAAATAAAAACAGGAAGATTTTAAGCAGGCTTTACATGGGAGACAAGCAAACTCTATTGTTGGACTTGGATTTAATCATTCCTATATTGTATTTTATATTTTGTCTTTCAAATTAAAACTACATTCAGATAAAATTAGGTGATCATTTTCATGGGCCAGGTAGTTGGCAGGCCCTTTCATGTCCACCTCCTTTCTTTATATAGATTCAGGACACAATCTGAAACTTGAGATAATGGAGCTGCAGAATTATGCCTTGTGTCAGAATTTGTGTTGTATGGACTCTGCACTTCACAGCACCTCCAGCATTTTTTCTTTATATTTTTCTCTGGGATCTATGTGGCTACTGTGCTGGGTAACCTCATCATTGTGGTCACTGTAATTTCTGACCCCCACTTGCACTCCTCTCCTATGTACTTCCTGCTGGGAAATCTATCTTTCTTAGATATATGGCTAGCCTCATTTGCCACCCCCAAGATGATCAGGGACTTTCTTAGTGATCAAAAGCTCATCTTCTTTGGAGGATGTATGGCTCAAATCTTCTTTCAATTTATTGGTGGGACTGAGCTGGTACTTCTGGTTTCCATGGCCTATGACAGATATGTGGCTATATGCAAACCTTTGCATTACATGACCATGATGAGCCGGCAGATTTGCATGGGGCTGGTGTTGGTTTCATGGGTCATTGGATTTGTGCACTCCATCAGTCAAGTAGCCTTTACTGTGAATTTACCTTACTGTGGCCCCAATGAGGTGGACAGCTTCTTCATACCTTCCTCTCATGATCAAGCTTGCCTGCATAGACACCTTAGGTATACGTATGATATCAGACAGTGGGTTGCTGTCCATGAACTGTTTTGTGTTTCTCTTGGTCTCTTACACTGTTATCCTCATCACTGTCTGACAGCGTGCTGCTGGTGGGGTATACAAAGCACTCTCTACTTGCTTTACACAATCATGGTACTCACACTCTTCTTTGGGCTCTGCATTTTCATTTACATGTGGCCTTTCAGTCAGGGCTCTGTGGACAAGCTCCTGTCTGTGTTTTAAACCGTTTTTACTCCACTTTTGAACCCCCTTATCTACACAATGAGGAATAAAGAGATGAAAACCACTATGAAGAAACTGGGTAACCAACACATGACATCACTGAATTCCACCTTTCCTGAGACCTACATGTTCTTACTCATTCAGGGGATATCCTTTCTTTAAAAGGATTCTGCATAACGATTTCATTCTGATGTTTTATTGATATAATTTGTATTGTGTTATATTACTGAGAAATAGTTGTGGATTACAACAAAAATCATGTATATAGCTTTACTCTATATAATTTTATGCTTCAAATAAAATTTTATCATATAACTTTATAGTATCACTACCTTATAAGACTTATGTCACAGTATGCTAATTTTATCATATTTTATATTACAAATGTAATTTGTAAGTATAATATAACTGCATTATAATTTAATAGTAGTAGAATTATATAGTAATTTCTATGTAATATAACTTTATGTAAACAGATATAATCTACATACACACTCAACCCACACATTGACTTTGGAATGGGCTTAGCAATTTTCTATCTTTGTTAAACCAGATTTCTCTCCCTAGCTTATATTGTCTACAGTATTTATAGAAAATGAATTTTAATTTCCTAATCATAGTTCAATACAGCAAGACTGTCAGTTTGTAACCATTCAAGCTATGAGACATTCAGCAGAAGCAAGCAAGTGTGAGAATAAAATGCTCTATCAGTCTTTCTCCTGGTTTTGAAAGTCGGTGAGAAGGAAAATGATACTGTTTCAAAATCCTATTTATTTAAAAGTATACATTTTTCTGGAAATGTGTACTATACTTAAACTTTTTATTGAAAATAAATGAATGTATGCGAGTGAAATTCAATTACAGAAGTTAATTGTCACATGGGGAAAATTGCTATTTTATGGTTCAATATTTCATGGTGTAAATTGAGATTACTGTGTAATGATTTAAAATGCATTGGAGTAGGAAAATAATAAAATTTAGGGCATAGACTTTAAATAAACACTACATCAAATTATATCTTACAGTGCTGATTCTGTCCCTTGGCAAGTCATCTATTAGGAAGTGTGTTTGAGTATAACAGAGTCAAATCTTATGCTGAGTTTTTAAATGTCCTTGGATCCTAAAAAGACTATTATAAGCAAGAGTTAACTTTTGTATTAACTAAACTAATGGTCAAAGAATTCAATTTTCTTGTATGTTGATTCTGAAACACCAAACAAAAGGAGAGAATTGGGCAATGATTCGGTTACTTGAGCAACCAAATGAAACTTCCAATAATTTTGGACAGTTTTTCAATAAGGAGAAGCATGCTCCTAGGTACTTCTGTTTTCTCTTATGACTGTAATCTCATGCATTTTCATGAACACTAGAAGAATACAGATTGAAAACTGCCTTGGGATAAATTTCTCAGGAGTTCTCTTGCTTGCTACTGCAATAATACTGAGTTTTGATTTTATAGACTTTGGAGTTGTCGAATTTTATGACCAATTACACCCTGTATGTGAACAATTAAAGAGTTTAAAAGCTCCACTTTATTTTCACTACTGCATTATTTACAATAGCCAGTATATGGAAGTAATCTGTGTCCAAGGGGAGATGAATGGATAAAGAAGTGGTGTGTGTGTGTGTACACCTTTGCTGTATCCCAAAGATTTTGCACAGTTGTGGTTTCATTTTTATTTGTTTCCATGAATTTTTTTTAATTCTTCTCTAATTTCCTGGTTGACTCATTCATTCTTTAGTAGGGTGCTCTTTAGCCTCCATGTATTTGAGTTCTTTCCAACTTTCCTAAATATATATAGAGAGAGATATAAAGATATATAGATATTATTCAAACATTAAAAAAGAATGAGATGTTACTCTTTAAACAAAATGACTGGACCTAGAGGGTATTATGGTAAGTGAAATAAGTCAGAGAAAGAGAAATACCATATGATTTTATATGTGGAGTCTAAAAAAATAACAAAAAACAAAAGAAACTGAAGAGAAAAAGTCTTAGAGATACAGAGAACAAACTGGTGGTTGTCAGATGTGAGGAGGGTGGAGATGGGCAAAGTAGTTGAAGGGTATTAAAAGACACAAACTTCAATTATAAAATAAATAAGTCTCAGCGATGTGATGCACAGCATAGGGAATATAGTCAAGAATATAGTAATGACTTTGTAAGCTGACAGTAACTAGACTTCTTGAGGGGATCATTTCATAAAGTATAAAAATATTGAATCAATCTAATACATACTTAAATAGAATGCTGTATGTCAATTAAAACTAAGTGTGGAGGGTGCCTGGGTGGCTCAGTTGGTTAAGCCACTGCCTTCGGCTCAGGGCATGATCCTGGAATCCCAGGATCAAGTCCCACATTGGGCTCCCAGCTCTGCGGGGAGTCTGCTTCTCCCTCTGACCTTCTCCTCTCTCATGCTCTCTCTCTCTCTCAACTAAATGAATAAAATTTAAAAAAAAAAAAAAGAGTGGATACCAACATAGCTTTTAGGACAATGATACCTTATTCTTATATTGTTGAAGAGAGCAAAAGCAGGGTTAAAATCTGAAAGTGAAAAGTTTTATTTATAAACATGCTAGAATACATTGAAATAAAAAAGGAAGAAAACATATTGTATCTTTAGAGGTTAAATCCCATTATAAATGAACATCATGTCTATGGGAATCTATTTCATGTTTCCCTCTTAATGCCTTTATTTTAAAACTTTGCGGAGACCTTTGAGTTTCCCTCTGAACAAAGGGGAAAGAAGTGTTGGTTATCCCAACCCCCGACCCCTCCCTCCTGCCAAATAAGGCCCAGCTGGGAGGGCATTTCTGTTGCCTCTGAAATCTTGAAATAAACATCAAAAGAAACAGCATCAGGTGTCAATATTGCGCTAAGGCAGGCAGTGGGTCCTAGAAACCTGTCTGCCAGAGCATCACCCAGTCTGCACCGCAAGAACACGCAAGGGCTCCAGGCTGTGGTGGAGCCTGGCGTGAGCCAGGTGTGGGCGCAGCAGGGAATCTGGGCCCCGGCCAGGGGGAGGTGGGGCTGCCAGGAGGGCCGCCAATAAAGCGTTCAGGAGGTGGTGCGGCGCTGGCGTGCCTTCCTTTGGGCCTCCATGCTTGCGTGTCTGCTGCTCTACCGGGGCTGAGGTGGCTGGTGTTGGTCAGAGGGCCTCGGGGCAGGGTCGGCCACTGGTGGAGCACACACTGGGGCCAGGCCTGGCTGCCTTTGTGAGACCTCAGGTGTGTCTTACCAGCTCCTTGAAGGGCAGAGAGGCCTTCCTGACAAACGTGGGTGTGCTTGCCAGCGGAGACTCCTGTTAGGCATGGCCGGCTTCCTGTTGCGGACTCCACAGGTGTCACCGGCCACTTGTCGGGGACGCTGGATCTCCATCAGGTAGGTGAGCCGTCAGCACGCTGGGGTGGAGGCGGCGCCAGGTCGTGTTGAAGATCCAGATCGCGTCTTCGTTCTGGCCGGGTCGCCTTGTGGAAGATCATGCCCCAGGTGTTGTCCTCCTGCAGTGCCCCTCTTTGTGTGATGTTCCTGCAAGGCTCCTTCTTGATGGGCCCCACATAATGGCCCATCTTGAGTGTTCTCAGGATAGGCTTCTGGTATAGCTCTCCTTCCTGGGGCCCTGTAGCTGGGGCCTGTATTGTGGTGTTGTCACAGCATATGCAAATAGGGAATGAGAACTTTGGATTCCAGAACTTTGTCCCGACCTTGGGCAACCATCTGTCAGGGATGGGGCAGTGATTTCAGAGTTGTGTGGGTCAGTCAGCAGTTGTGGTCAGTCTGGTCCCAAAACTGACTGGGAAAAGAAGTTGTGGTTGTTTCAGGGAGGGGGTGATGAGTGCTTTTTTACAGGTCATCCTAATTAAAATGCCAAAATGGAGGGCTTCCAGAGAGTTCCTGAGAACAAGACTCAGAGAAGGGGCTAGTTTTTAGTGTCTTCCATTTCAAATGAGACTGCATTCTTTAGGGAGAAGAATCCCGTCATAACCATTTCAGATTCTGCAGTGCTTCGTAGTGGGTTAACATGGAAGAATAGGAGAAGTTAAAAGGAAACATATCTGCCTTAGGATTTCTTTCCTTTTTTCTTATTGGTGTAATACTGATTTTTTATTTCATAGACTTTAGATGTAGCCACTTTTTATCAAAATGTGCCTAATTCTGTTTATACATTTTATTCAATTAATGTCAAGCACCAGCTGTATTTCACATTACATGAACAGAGCTTATAGTGGACATAGAGAATTTAAGAACAGACATTCTCTCTGTAGTGGAATAAAAGCAAGGAAATAGTCACAAAATATGCTATCAGATGATTGTTATGATCAATATTAAAATAATCTCTGAGAGCATAGGAGAGGGAACTTAATCCAGTCCTCATGGTTAGGTTAGGCTTCCCTTTATTACTTCAGTTTTTCTCTGATTTCTGAGGATGCTGTATTTGTCCTATTATTACACACACACACACACACACACACACACACACACAGCATGTTTAGCACAGAACCAACCAGTCCTGTTGTAAATGCTGAAATAAGTGTTTCTGACTTTTTAGAAGTACCCATGGCTCTTGTCTCATTCCCAGTGTCTGCTCAGGTCTCTGTCTTGCTCTGGCCAGATCCTTGAGGATGGATGTGGACTCCTGTGCTGGCACTTTAGGAGTTTTGTTGTCTGGAGTGGCTAAACATGCCTCCATGATATGTTAATGAAACTTGAGTGAATAATGTCACCAGTTTTCTGGGAACTATGAGCTTTTGTAGGTAATTTGTCATTGTCAGTGCACAGGCAGCCATAGATTTTAAATGGAGGAACTTCCTTGAATTTTGAGAAAGTGTTTATGAAACTCATTTTCCTGTTTT